ATTGTTAGCCTTGGTTTGCTAAGTCTCATGTTTTGATGTTAACAAACAATATAAGAGCTTAACGTTTGTTTAAGTGTTTCAGGAAAACAAGAATCCATTAAGATTCGGTACTCAAGAATGAAGTCGAAACACTAAAACTAGCGTAGAATATAGGTAGAAACCAATGTAAGGATATGACTTTATATACCTATATTCACAAGCTCAAAAGCACTCACAAAATATGTTTAAAACCATCACATAAACACTTTCAAATATCTAAAAGGTTTTAAACTCAAACACGAAGGATTAAGGGAATATTGGAAAAATCAGAACAGAGTCACGGTACCCCTAGCGGTACGCCACACGGTAGGGTATACCGCCTACACGGTACCCCCATACCGTGTAACAGTACCTAGGTACCGACGGTAGGCGTAGACGGTTGGCCGAACCCGTCCTAACCAGGTACCGCTAGAGGCGAACTGAACTTTTGGAAGACACGGTACTCCCACACGGTAGGCCGTACCGTGTCACGGTACCTAGGTACTGGATGACACGGACCCCCCTACCGTGAAGGGTACCGGATCCGTTACAGCACTGTAGCAAAATTGCCAATTTGAATTAAATCAACCCTAATCACCTCCCAACGGCTAATTAACATCTTCCGCTATAAATACAAGCATAATCCTTCATATTTCTTCAAGAAACAAAGCTCTAAACATCCTCTCTTTTTATTCTAAATGTGTTCATCCTTTTATTAATTATTTTCAATATTTTGGCTATTTTAAGGGCCTTAAATTCCTGATTTTTTTACACACACTTTGAGCTTGTGTTTCTAGTTATATACTCCCATATTCATAAGTTTGAATTGTATTTTTGAGAGAGTATACGTTCCTTCTACACCGGCTAAGTTTTGTTCTTCATTTTTATATTCAAGTCGTTGTGTAGAACTCTTGTTTGTGTTCTTCAAACACATCTTTTGTAACACCCTAATCCGTCCAGGTCTGCATCCCCTTTCGGACTAAAGTATTGATTTGGTAATCGTGATAATTTAAAACATTTCAAACATTTTTATTTATAAATAATATTCCATACATAATTGTAGATAATACAGAGTGTTTAATAATAATAATAATGATAATGCGGAAGCGACTTTTAAACATGTCTCATAACAACATAATTATTTATTTTGTTCAATGATCCACCACAACTGTCTCGCCCCTTCTGCTGCCAGGAATCAGCCAATCATTCATTCTACCTACCTGCGTGTAGCAAATAAAACACACTACACGCTCAGCGGTGAAGCTGAGTAAGAATATCTAAAGCGTCGAACATTCAAATAAATTGAATCTCAATTCATAATCAACCATTTGATATCATGCACCCAATATATAATTCAAACGTTCATGATATTCTCACTATTTTATTCCAAGTCATTTGATATTCAATATCTCAACCATGCTCTTAAATTATTCTTAATCTAAGGCCAAATCATTTTATAACAAGCTCTTAGCTATTC